GGCAGAAATTTGGACACCCTTGGCTCCCGGGTTGACGGTTCCCTTAAGCCCCGCCCGAGTTCTGCTTGCCACAGTGAAGCTTCCGCCAAACACCTGCTCACTACATAGGGGTTGTCGCCCAGTGCCTGAACCCGTTTTAGGTGGGCACTTGCATCAGTTCCACTAAACAGAAAGGCGCACACATTTGGCTGTGGGTCAAAATCCAAATCGTACCCCCCGTGAACGGGACCCAATCCAACCACTAAACTCGTTCCTAAAATGGTCCCAAAACGGCTTTGACCCATCCCCTCTAAACAAAAACTAAAATGGCTGTTGAATTCGCAAATCCCAACCAAAACGGGGTCCCAAAAAAACCGGCTTTCACCCGCCCCAACAAAAATTGGCCATGGCTCACCCGGCTCACGGCTCGCTCGCTCGCTCCGCGGAGCCCTTGAGCCCCGCGCCGCGGACGCCAGCGCCGTGGCCACCGCCTCCCGTCCGTCCGCGAAGAAACTTCCGGCCCGGTGGCACCGGCGGACGGCGGAGGCCAAAGGGAGCGGCGTGAACCAAAAAAACCCACGCCCGAACCGCGGAGAAAAACAACAAAACGCCCAAGTTCACGAGGGTCTCGTGTTGTTTTTGTGGAGGTTTTTCGTGCGTGGATTGGCCCGAAGAAAGGGAAGCGTACTGTTGCCTTGGCCCAAAACGGCGGCGAAAAGCCAAACTCCGGAAGTGAGCTTTAGACGCCTTCGTGGCTTCCATTCTTAGTCGGGTCACGGACATCAGACTGCTCGGAAACCATATTTTCGGGGTAACTTCCATTTCCATTCTTTCCAGGGATCCGGATCTTTCTAGAAAACCACCTTAAAAACCCTGGGGAAATGGCGATCGGTTTTTGAAAAGAAGGATGGCTGAAAAGAATGGACAAGGGCTCTAGGTGGAGGTATGGATGCTTGTAACCTGTATACCACGAACACAAGCTTGTAACGAAGTAGTAACCTCCATACCTCCAAAACTATTTTTTAAAGTTCGATTCAAGTGCGGGTGAGGTTCAGGTTGCTTTCTGCCTCATAGTGTTGTTGCCCAAACTGCCCCAACAAGGGGTATGTAGTCATGAGCGTGTCGCACCGCTTGAGCCGTTCTCAGGGAAGTTGAAAAAGCGACCACAAGCATTCGCTGGTTGCTTGCCCTCGAGATCCCAAATAACACGGGTCGCCCCGTCTTTCAGCGTTGATCTCTTGAGCATAAGTGTGACAGCACAATCAAAACGCCTGGACACGGAATGCTTCACTGAGCCGCCACGCTGGGCAGCCCTGCATTCATGGTAATAACGGGTCCAACCTGAAACAAGCCACACCCACATCGGACAGCAAAAGCGTCACAATCAAAACCCGGTATTTAAATGGTCTACCCGAACCAAGGCAAAGAACTAAAACTCACTTTCTGAGGGGAAGGCCCCAAAAATGTAACCAACCTTTGGGTTTACCACGAATGTTGACCCCATATTAATCAACCCTAATTGGCCCTCCAAAAGTGATGATTCCCCGCTAAACCCAGAATAACTCCCTCTAGTACTAAGCTGTGGTTGATCAATATGGGGTCAACATTACCCTTCACTTGCTCAAGTCCCCTGGAAAAAAAAAAAACTAATTCCAGTCGTGAAATCGATTCCCTTTAAATCCGACAGGGGAAATAAGAAACATATTCTGAACCAAATGGAAGCTAAAACCACTCCCTCTAGTACTAAGCTGGAGTTGATTAATATGGGGCCAACATTAACCTCCATTTGCTTAAGTCCCCTGGAAAAAGAACCACTAAACACTAAGAATATTTACACAGCTCAGGAACCGGATGGCTGGTTGAGCCACGTAAGCTGGGGTTTAATAAGGGGTCCACCAAAAAATGGCCAAGACCCAAGTAGCTCGAGTCCGAGTCCCGGAACTGATCGAGGCTGAGGCTCCGAGCCGCGGAGACCATGGGCCTGGCCTCGCCGAAGTCTTGCGACGCTTACGCCGACGACCGCTCCAAAACGCCAAACGACTGCCATGCAGTGAAAAAGCTACACTCCCATGATCCAGGACACACACATATGGCTGTGGTCAAAACCGTTCAACGGGATCCCATTTTGGTTGGCAGGTGAATTCACCACCCATTTTGGAGCCTATTTCAGTGGGGATTGAGATGTTCACTGGGGGTACGATTTGGATTTTGACCCATGGCCATGTAGGGAAGACTCACCTAGGTCCTCCAGATTTGAGAGGTTAGAATAAGTTGGTACCCGATTTTCTCCTTTTTTGTCTATTTTGGTAGGGGAACCCTCCCCCAATAAAGGGGTGAAAGGGCACTACTGGGAGACCTAGCTCACTGTACCCGTGAGTTCTGTTGTACCTTCCCCATTTGCTGCTCAAAGGAACTAAGGCTCAAATCCCCAAAACAAACAATCCAAGCCACCCATTAAGTGTGATGTCCACAGAAAGGTCCCTTGCTAAACATGAAACGGAATCTGAACATCTCATTCTTTGTAACCCAGATGTGGGTGTGATTTTTAGTTACAAAGAATGAGATGTTCAGATTCCGTTTTTGTCTACAATGAAGCTTTGGAGGAGACCCCAAACACTATTTTCGCCAAACAAGTCCTTCACTGTGGTCAGTTCGCATTCGCGCACCGATTTGTGCCGAGGCTCTTTGACTGAGCTTCACTTTCTGAGTGGCCGCCACCATGGCTCACTTGAAAGTCTGAACTTTTGTTTACCACTGACATCTTGGTTGACGTTGGGTTCGGGGAGCAACAATTCTCAAACTTTAGCAGTTAAGTGGATTTGGATTTCAACCACTAAACCACAATAGCAAAATGGGCAAACTGTTTCCCAACAACAACCACGAAAATGGCAACCAAACCCAACAAATCTCAAGTCCAGAAACTCGGGAAGTGAGTGCCAAAGATCCGGAGGGGTCTGAAAGCAATAAACCGACCCTGTTGGTTTCTCTTTGGGTGGATGAAACTGGGCAGTCCGTTTTTAGATCTGCTAAAAGCTCAACTGTGGGTTAAATGGACCCCCCACCAAATCCGAAACAACCAACAACCTAAGCAAACAACAGTATAGTTCACTTAAATCAACATTTTCTTTAAACGCCCAGAGTAGCTCCCCCGAAAAATTAAGGACCAACTCTGGGAACCGCCGAGTTGTCTTGGGCATTGTGAGGGCCTCGGGATTTGGGGATCGGATCCTTCTTGCTCTGCTTGCTCTAGAATTGCTGTTTAGAACTTCGGGCTCCAATGAAAATGAAGGAAATCGCGGGTGATCTCATTCATTGCTTTCAGGATTTGTGAAACTGTTTAGAACTTTGGGCTTGTTCGAGGAAACTCAGTTGAAGCTCAGAAGCTAATGCTCTACCCTAACTCAAACACATATAGCCCAATGCTCGCGAAGAGGATACGAATTGTGGGGAAGGGGGGAAGGTGCCGCTGAAGTTTCTGGGGGCAACTTCCCCATTCTTTCCAGGCATCCTTCTTTCTAGAAAACCACCAAACACCCTGGGGAAATGGCGATCGGTTTTTGAAAAGAACGAAGGGTTGAAAAGAATGGACAAGGACTCAACCCCCAGTTCTTCAGTGACCCTGGAAAAAAAGGAAATGGAACCCTTTTTTGGGGCTTGGACCGAATTTTAATGGGGCCGCCAACCAAAAAGTTGGAAAAAGAACCAGGGGGCCACCGAACAAACCCAAAAAAAAGGGAAACAGAACCAGGGGGCCACCGAACAAACCAAAAAAAAGGGAAAAAGAAACAGGGGGCCACCGAACCACTGAGAACTCCTGGAAAGCCAACTGTTCTGCACACTTTTGGCCAATCCCGAAGCCTGCAGCCTGCCAGCCGAGGCGACCAGAACTGCACGAAAAGTTCAGCCGACGAGTGGCTGTGGCTCAAGAACATGTCACCAAATGGCACCTTGGTAAATAGAAACAATGACTAAAACATCGCGGTTTGCCCCAGCTGTTTGATTTTGACCCAAAGCCAAGTGAGCATTTTGGCACCTAGGATTGATGAAACCCCTGCTGGGTTCATAGGGGTTGTCTCATGCTCGAGAGAAACCTTGAACCACTTCCCTAAGAATCCACTGGGTTGGCTTATCCGGGCCGACTTATCCGGAATTACCTTGCAGCCTAATTTGGAGGAAACTGACGGACATGCTCTGACTCTCGCTGGGGCGCACGCCACATTGCCGCTCATTTTGCCCGCTCAAGCTGCGAATGGCTTCAGCGGCGCAACGAGAAAAAAAAAAACACTTCCCAGATTTCTGGCTAATCCCGAACACCCAAAAGGAGGCTCCCTTATGAAAAGCAGTGTTTTAGAATCTGTGTAGCTGAATTTTAGTGGAGTACAATGGTAGGTAGAGTCAAAAACAAATCCTCTCAGATACTCTACGCTGCTCTTTCTTGCCTCATGCAAGGAAACAACTATCCTCCACGAGCCGATTCAAGACCGTCGCCTACAGCCATATCAAATCCCCGTCTTCCCCTTTGCCCCAAAGTGAAAGCAAACCCATTGCTACCTGGAGGTAAACCGCATCAATTTCGTGGAAACGGAAAACGAAAGGACTCCTTCTTCTCCCATTTGGTGTCTTGGTCATTGTAAACCAAGGCAAACTGCACACCCATCACGTCTGCTAAGACATAAGCTGGCGGCAAAACGACACACCGGTCACTTCTCCAAAGAGACAAGTTTGCCGTATCTCCCGGGGTTGGACTCTTTTGGAGATGAGCAAGAGTCCGCCTTTGTGGCCAACCAGCAACCAGGAAAGTGCAAGAGTGTCCGAGAGATACAGCAAAGATAAGTTGAGCTCTCTTTCTCTTTCTCTTTTGGTCTAAAATCCCTGAGTGGACCCCAAAAGGAATACAATAGATAGACCAAAAACAAAAAGACCAAAGATCTCAGAAATCACTCTCTTTCCTCGTTCTTCCAAAACCCCTGAGTGGCACGCGCGGCATAGCTCGTCCATGAGGCGCCTCGCTCGTCCTTTTTATGACCGCCACATGTAGCGCTAGCTCTCCATGGGTGTGGGCTGCTGCCTCGGGTGTCACGGGCACGCGAGGCACGCGGCTCCGGTCAGCGGCTCTGGGCCATGGCGGGTCATATGGCCATGGGTCAAAATCCAAATCGGTTAGCCCCCAGTGAACATCCCAACTGAAGTAGGTTCTAAAATGGGCGGTGAATTCACCTACCAAAATGGGATCCCAAAACGGCTTTGACAACCACAGCCATATATATATATATATATATGTGGTCCTGGATCATGGGAGTGTAGCTTTCTAACTGCATAGGGGGCTGCCGGGGGCCACGCGGGCGGCGGACAACGAAGACACGGCTGGTTCCCTGTGAACACGCAATGGTTACCCCTGATTCGTAGAGGCCCCTCCCCCTTTCAGTGTCGAGAAGGCTTGGATACGGCCCCCAAAAACTGAGATTTTCTGGAGGACCCCGTGATTGATCTGGGGCTCTCCCCAGCTAATTGAACTGGAAGTTTGGATGGCTGGTTGAACCGCCAAGTTGATTAATTGAGGGGAGCACCTCCCCATTTATGTGGGGGTTTCAAACGGTTGGAGAAGACGGCTTGCCACTTTCTCAGTGGGCATTCCGAGTGGCCCCCCTTAATGGGATGGGTGGAACACCTGACATGACCAGCCAACGGGTCCCAAAGAACTCGCTCAAGGGAAACTCTGCTTTCTGCTCCCCTGCTTTTTTTTTTTTAAAAAAAAAAAACTTTTAGTGGGTTTAATACGGCAAACCCATGAGTTGGCAAAAAGTTGTTCAGTCCTAACATCCCTTGGCAAAATGCACCAAAGATTAGTATTCCCTTCTATTCCTTGAAAATTCCCGGTTCTTCCCTTACATATCCCTAGAATTTCCACCGAAAATTCCTCCAGCAAACCGCACCCAAGATGGACCCCCGGCCGGGGCGGCCGGGGCCCCCGGCTCGCGGCAGGAGCAAGAGGCCCTGCCCTGGAAGAGGGCGAACTTCACCACCTGCCGCCGAAATCCCAGGCGTCAAGCTGACAAGGGAACCACATGGGTGTGTTCTCTGGGGGTACCCCCCTCTTTCGTGGTGTTTTGAACGGAAACCAAGAAACCCCCCGAGCTTTCGTGTTCTTTTGAATGGAAACCAACAGAAAACCAAAAACAAAAAGGGAACCTCATGTGCCATGGTGAACACTTCTACAGCGGATTGGATCAAACGCTCCATCAACACCTGTCCAAATGGCGCATGCGATTTTTCCCGAAAGCTTTGCGACTCCCTGCATTGAGATCACCTGTTTTTTTTTCTCTTTCTGAGGGTGACCAATGAATAGTCCCAGACTCACTTCCTGAGTAACACTTGTTCTTTAGCACTAAGATGATTCTCCTCAAAAGTACAGAGTCCAATCTAGGGGTACCTTCCATTCTTTCCAGGGATCCTTCTTTCTAGCAAACCTCCGTAAACCCCGGGAAAATGGCTGGTTGTTGAAAAGAACGATGGTTGAAAATAATGGACAAGGAATCACCCCCTAGAACTAAGATGATCCTCCTCAAAAGTACAAAGTCCAACTCAGGGAGCGAACAGATGAGTGTTTACTTGGGGCAAAACATTGGGTGAACAACACTCCTATGGCCTATGGTCATGGCTCCCTTGATCTAGGAACGACTCCTGGAATCAGCCGATTGATGACTCCAGCCATGCGGCCATTTTGGGGGTTGTTGTAAATGGAAACGAACAGAAAACCAACATAGAACCCCCACAACGTGGATATTCTGAGTGGGGCTGGGAAAGCATGTCGCATGGCAAGAATATCTCGTTTCAAGTCGCTTGACAAATATACCCCTGCCAGAGGGTCCCTTGGTACCTCCTGAGGAAGGCTTGGGGGGCGGTAAAAAAGGTCTAAGTAGCTTCTTACAAGGTCTTTTCCCTCTCTGGGCCTGAGCAAAAGTAGGCATTGTGACTAGGTCCTCCAGTAGAGAGATTAGAATAAGGGTACCAACTTTTTTCTTTCGTCTATTTTAGTAGGGGAACCCTCCCCCAAAAAAAGAAATGGTAAAAGGGCACGATCCTGGGGGACCTAGGTGAGTGACAGCAGCCTGCGGTTTTGAGAACGCGCGCGCCTGACTTGCAAGGCCCTGAACTTGTTCTCCTGCATTCTTGGCGGCATCAATGGCAACCTGCGCAAAGCTTCGCTTGGGACTTCCGTTTCTGGGCTGTTCTCAGATCCCCTAAGAGTGAATAACTTGTAGGCTAAAACCGGAAACCCAACCGCCAAACCAACGAAAAACCAGTGAACACCTAAGGGAGATGGCTGGGAACCTAGTGCCATGGAAGCTCCCATGGGACTAGTTCAGATCTGCTGAAAAAAGACAGGGACGCTTGGCCAATGAAATCCACAATTTTTGAGGGTAGAACTTGGCCCCGAAAAAATAAATAAATAAATAAAAGGAACCGAAACACACCCACCTGTCCTATATTGTGATTTGGACATCTTCTTGAGAGCCACCCTGTTCATGGTGATGCCAAAGCGGCTGATTCCCATCCCTAATATCACTTTGCCACAAAGCATATTTTCCAAAACCATGCTTGAGTTCGATTGCTAAAAGCCATGGTCAAACAATGCGAACACAAACTCTCGATGGACATAATGTTAGGGGGTCTGGCCCCATTGTTCTTCCTGGGATATTTGAAGAGTACCCCATGTCTCGAACCTCCAAATTACCCATAGACTGCAATATGTGACTGAACTCCAAAGGAATGGAAGAGCACCAGTAACACTAGGATTTCCCTACTCAGACAGCCTCAACAAAGCACTCCAAAGAAACCACCTCCACATTTCCTTGTTTGGCCCTTTTGGCCTTTGGAGTGCAACCCAGGGATTGGTGAACCCACCCAGCCAGCCAGTACTATGTCGACCATGGACCTGAAATAGCAACCAACTGTGAAACTCGTTTGTGGCCCCCTTGCAAAGGACTGTCTGATAAGATCTTGCGTGTTCTTCCAAAATCCTTGCCGCGGTTGCCCAAAAAGCCTGGACAACAAGGCGAATCCTTTGTGGGAAGTATGACTCAACATCCAGGCACCCTACCGACCATCCCCCAACCATCCCTCAAAGACCCCGCAAAACGGTTGCAGCCTTGTTGGGACTTGGGTCTTGGGGGCGGGGTCTTCGAATGATGGAACATGGCCAAACAATTTCTGTTTGCGTGCAGGGAATGACCTGCGGGGGTTGGCAAACATTGTCGAACCTCAACTGTCTTGTCCACCACAAGTTCTCCTTTTGTCTCGGCATTTTGGCGATATTCCGAAAAGGATCCCTGGTTCAGATTCAGACTTCCCTAAGTTCCATGTCATGTTACTTCCTGAATTGAGCTTCCTTGTGCCATTTTTGGCATCAAGTTCTTGAACCGAATCGCAGGTTCTGGAATCAAGCTTTGGAATGTTGCCGGAAAAATATGATGGGTCGGTCTTCTTTTGAGGATAACCCGGTTTTGGTGGCTTCAAAGGGAAACCTACATTTTGGTAAAGGGAAAACCGCTCTCTCTTTTTTTTTTGGGGGGGGAGGGAGCCCAAAAGAGACGAATCTACTTGGAACCTGGCCCATAGGAATCCATTTGGGTCACATCCCGGTTGAAGGTCGACCCTGAAGCTGGGTTGAGGCACTCTGGATTCTCTAACTCGGGACACGCGCAACCAGATTGATCAATTCGCGGTTACCAGACAAAATGAACCTTTGCGGGGTTCTAAACACTGGGTCCGGCTCAAAAAAAAATCAACTGCCCATCCCTTTTGGCTTCCCTTTGGGTAAATTGAGAGCTCTCTGCCTGCCCGTTTGACCCCGTTCGCGCGTTGTTTTATGGCAACATAGACAACCCCTGCCCATTTGCTCGTCCCCCAACACTAGCCAATGGTGCAGGGATCCTTACACCTGAACATTGCCTTGTAAATTGTGGTTTCAACCTGTATTTTGGTGTTGAAAAAGCCAGCCATTTTCTCAAATGGCAAGGCAACACGAATTTCTTTTCAGGCGCCCTGTTGTGGTTGCAAAAACACAAGCCCCGCGCGCGCTGAAAACCCGGCTCCGCCTTGTTCAACAAGTTGTCCTCCTTCCGCTTCTTAGGCTCCTGCCTGAGATTCAGCTTGCCACCCGGGATTGAAATGGTCTGCCCGAAGCAAAGAACTAAAACCCACAACACCTCAGTGGAAGGTAACCAAAAAAGGCAACCAAACTTTGGGTTTACCACGAATGTTGACCCCATATTAATCAACCCCAGTTTATCAATAGGGGGTGTTCCTCTCCAAAAGTGGTCTGATTTCCCAAGCAACCCAGAATCACTCCCTCTGGTAATAAGCTGGGGTTGATTAATATGGGGCAACATTGACCTCCATTTGCTTGTGGAAAAAATGGGCAAATATGTCCAATAGTGAAATCAATGCCCTTTAAAACCAACAGGGGTAATAAAACACATTCTTAACCACATGGAAGACAAGTTTCCCGCCGGGGAATGACCCCGTGTGCTTAAAGCAGAACCATGCTGCTCTGCCGGAAAACAAGAAATCGAGCAACCAAGCAAGCACACAAACACAGAAAAGCTGGTACGCACACATCGGACACTGCAGCACAAGTAGAACCAGTCTGCTCTGCCGGAAAACAAGAAATCGAGCAACCAAGCAAGCACACAAACACAGAAAAACAGGTACGCATATATCGGACACTGCAGCACAAGCAGAACCAGTCTGCTCTGCCGGAAAACAAGAAATCGAGCATAAAAGCAAGCACACAAACAGAGATAAGCTGGTACGCACACATCGGACACTCCAGCACAAGCAGAACCAGTCTGCTCTGCCGGAAAACAAGAAATCGAGCAAACAAGCAAGCACACAAACACAGAAAAGCTGGTACGCACACATGGGACACTGCAGCACAAGCAGAACCAGTCTGCTCTGCCGGAAAACAAGAAATCGAGCAACCAAGCAAGCACACAAACACAGAAAAGCTGGTACGCACACATCGGACACTGCAGCACAAGCAGAACCAGCCTACTCTGCCGGAAAACAAGAAATCGAGCAAAGAAGCAATCACACAAGCACAGAAAAGCTGGTACGCACACATCGAACACTGCAGCACAAGCAGAACCAGCCTGCTCTGCCGGAAAACAAGAAATCGAGCATAGAAGCAAGCACACAAACAGAGATAAGCTGGTACGCACACATCGGACACTGCAGCACAAGCAGAACCAGTCTGCTCTGCCGGAAAACAAGAAATCGAGCAAAGAAGCAATCGCACAAGCACAGAAAAGCTGGTACGCACACATCGGACACTGCAGCACAAGCAGAACCAGCCTGCTCTGCCGGAAAACAAGAAATCGAGCATAGAAGCAAGCACACAAACAGAGATAAGCTGGTACGCACACATCGGACACTGCAGCACAAGCAGAACCAGTCTGCTCTGCCGGAAAACAAGAAATCGAGCAAAGAAGCAATCGCACAAGCACAGAAAAGCTGGTACGCACACATCGGACACTGCAGCACAAGCAGAACCAGCCTGCTCTGCCGGAAAACAAGAAATCGAGCATAGAAGCAAGCACACAAACAGAGATAAGCTGGTACGCACACATCGGACACTGCAGCACAAGCAGAACCAGTCTGCTCTGCCGGAAAACAAGAAATCGAGCATAGAAGCAAGCACACAAACACAGAAAAGCAGGTACGCACACATCGATCACACACACACATACATTGCCTGCGAAGAAGTGTCAACCACAGCGTGGCTTCCCCTTCCCCTCTGCCTTAAGGGGGAGGGGTTGGGGTTGAAGGTCCCCAGTTCCATTTGGCTGTGGGTCAAAAAATGAGTACCCAAAATGGAACCCTGGTAAATGGAGTTCATGAGTAAAACAGGCGTCCCCCTGGTGGTTTAATTTTGACCCACACCTTGTCCCGTCCAAAGGGGAACGTGGTCCAATGAAGATCTCGAGTGGAAATTTCCCTTCGGCGGGGCTTGAGCCAAGGAGCTTTGCAGGGTTTGACACACGTGTCACGGGGCTTGAGCCAAGCAGTTCAGTTTCTGGGCTGTCCGCGTTCAGTTCAACTTGTGGCTTAAATCCACTAAACCAAATCAAAACCACTAAGCAGCTGCATGGCTGGGAACCAGCAAGGTTCAATTTCAAGACTGAAGCTTGTGCGTCCCTTTCAGAGGGGTTAAGTCCTCCTGAAACAACTTTCCAAACTGCGACTACCCTGCCAAATGATGCACCTTTCTGGCCGGGATGCTTGGTTGCTGCAACGACCCCTCCAACAACTTGTGGGTCCAATGCGAAAAATCTGAGCTGTTTCAAGCAACAAGTTCTTCAGTAATATCGTTTCCCGATAGCCAAGGATGCGTTTGGCAGTCACCCTGTTCAGCTCATTTCTTCCGTAAGGGGCTGGGGGATGGAGAAGTTCTTGAGGGCCCGGTACTCGTTCATCAGCCAGGTGTTGGTTTCAACACTGCTGACCGGGCAGCATTTTTGTTCTTGCCATTCGCTGGTAACCTTCAGGGCTCCAGGGCTTGCGCATGGCGAAGTCCCCATCCCGCCTAACCCCAAGTCCCCGCTTCTCTCGTGAAAAAGGAGTTCGTGGACACGAAGTGGTTGGTTGCTATGGGGTGTTTCACCCCCCCCTCCCTACACTAGGGAGGTGAAGGAACCCCTCATGAATGGACAAATGGATAAATGGACAATGAATGGACCCCCCCAATCATCGACCAGGGGTTCGTGAATGTTGGCTCAACATTGGGGATTGGCAGATTGGTAGTACACATGCACAAGTTGCATGGACAATGGTCGAGGGAAGCAACCGAAGCTCACTTCCGAGCGAGTGATTGGCCAAACAAAGTCCACAGTTGTTGGTTGGTTGCCACTGAAATGGCAACCAAACCCCAGTTGCCAAAGTCTGAAACGAAACTCGGCACACCCCGAGCTCCATGACGGCTCCCTTCCAGTCACTAGCCAGTGATCCAACTAAAAACAGAGATTTATTTTTTCCTGCTGTTGTCCTTTTAAACGGAGTGAGTAGAAGTACTTCTGGTAAGCGCTCAACGTGTTCGCTCAGGACTCCTCATTCCGCGATGCTCAGGCCCACGCATGAGTATGCGGAATCTGGACCTGGGCAATGCATGAAAAGGTACGGCAAATTTGCGAAAAATGCACCCAGGGACATTGGGTGCTTCAGTGCTACCAGTGTTTGTCTGGAGCTTCGACGTTCATCTCTAGAAAACGGTTGGGATGCGCTGTCTGAAAACGGTTGGGATGCGCTGTCTGTGGATCTCTCTGTTGTTTCTTGTTAGTAATATTTTAGTACTCTTGGAACATCCTGCACATCCAAATCGTTTCCTAGATCTCATGTCCCCCCCGCCCCCAAACAGCAACGGTAGAGCAATCAGTCTCAGTGACAAGTCAAAAAACACCTCCCAGAGCCTGCCCAGGCTTCACATAGCGAAGGAGTCAGCAACTATGGGGGTTCCCCCCTCCCCCCTCGTGCCCAAAGTGAAGGAACTCCTCATCACTAGACCCAATCATCAACCCGGTTCCCGAATGTTGGGTCAACATTAGTTGGGATTGGCGGATCGGCTTGACGGGCAATACACAAGTCCAGGTAAGTCGAAGTAAAGGACCTACATCATGGTGAGCTCGCTTTCCCACGTGAACTCGCCACGATAGACAGGTACAGGTTCTCTGCTTCTGCGATCGATCCAGTAGCTCAGTCACCCTGAGCAGATAACGGGAGCCTGTTTGGCACACCCAAAACTCTGACTGTGCGGTTTTCGCCCCGCTGGAACAAACGAGCAACTATGTCCAGGAGTGATAGGTTTCCATTAAAAAACAATTAGGGGCAATAAAACATATTCTTAAGCAACTGGAAGTTGACCTCCAAAAAAACACGCCCTGCTCCCCCCCCCCCCCCCGCCCACCCGGTTTGCACTCAAAAAACAAACTTCCTTGAGCCTCAAAACTCAAAAAACACACACACGCCCTCATTGAGAAAGCTGCCCCCGCCCCACCCGATCGCTCTAGGGCTTCCGGGCTGAGAAGCTGAGTTCATGTCAATCTGATCCAACTTCTGAACACAGTCCTTTCGCGCCGGACCACATCGGGCGCCCGTTCGGCCCAATCGATTGGCACACGAGGGTACAGTGATGCGTGTTCTATGTTTGGTAAAAAGGAAAAAACAACAAAAACAAGAAGCCAACTGAAACCAAAGGAAACCCAAAGACATCCCAACCGAAATTCCACCCTTCCGGTTTCATCGTAAAGGCCTGATCGATTGATCTACTTGACGCTCAGGCTGAATGTGGGTGGCTCGTCGTTGATACCCTAGTGTGTATATATATATATATGTTATTTTACTTTTTTTCGGCGTGTCCTTGTTTGAGGATACGTTACTCTTCTGTGGTTGTCAAGAGAAACTAGAAGGACCACCAACCATTCGGGTCTCCCAAAAAGACATACCCATCTATATCGTTTCGTCGGACATGCTGGATGAAAACAGCGTGCTCCGTTTCAATGGACACTCAATAACCTCAGTGAATCCCATGGTTGGCTTGTGAATGGCGGAATCCCCTATGTGGTTCGGCCTGTTGACGCCGGATTTTTCGGGTGGACATGGGGGAACCGTCAATGCTCTGGCCCAACTTGAGGCTTGCCTCACCGCCCAAAGGATGTGAACTGAGCGACTTTTCACAACGTGTTGGAACCTAATCTTACAATGTGGCTGTGGCTCAAAAAACCAGTGCCCAAAATGGAACCTGGTAAGTGGAAACATGGACCAAAACCTGTGGTTTGCCCCTCCGATCGTTTAATTTTGAGCCACAGCCATGTGAAACCCAAACAGAAATCGGGGGAGAACAAAAACAAAAACAGAGCCAACGCGAGTTCCAGCCGCCCGAGTCTCTGAGTGCCCCAGCCGCCCAAGTGGTTTCATGGAACTGGGCGAGTTCTTCTCACTTTGGCTCAAATCCGCCGGCCGCAAGGCCGACGTGTTCCGTGGATGTCTCTGTATGATCTTGTGTGTATCTGTGCTGCGGCTTTCACTCCCTTGGCGCGCCACTTGGAATAAATGTACCAAAATGACACCTTGCTTAAAAACATGCGTAAAGACGAAATGGAACCAAAAGACTAAAGACCAAATTCATGTACCAAAATGGAACCAAAGGATTAAAACCTGCGGTTTGCCCTAGCTCTTTCATTTTGAGCCACACCCATGTGTGTCCATACGGCTCAGGGTCCGCACAGCATGACCGTCCCCGTCTCGTTGCAGCTCCTGAACCATCTGGTTGCAAAAGCCCCGGTTGTGCAGCAACGGCGAGCTCGACCTCAGCAATTCCACCCAGTCTGCTGTCAGGAGGGGATCTCACAAACTTTGGCCTTTCAGAGAACCGCAAAAAATACTTGGTTGACGTTGGAAGGGGAGCAACAAATTAAATCTTAGCAGTTGAGTGGGGATCTCCCACTAAACCACAATAAGCAAAAATGCAAAATGTTTCCCAGCAACAACCGTGGACTCTACAGCCAGCCGTGAAAGGCTGACTGAGGCTTATTGTAGCCAAGCAAGCTGGCGAATATCACCTTAACATCTTGGCAAAAAGTAACCACTTACAAACCAAGCAACATGCCAAGAGCAGTGAAGATTTGCCGACCAAAGAAGTGACCCGCCTTCCCACTGGAGACAGAACGCCCCGGGCTCAAAATGAACGACCCAAAAGCCTCCGCCTTTGCTCGCTGCCACAAACTGGGGGTTGGGGGCACGGTGCACCAACCACTTTTTAAACAGCCGAATGGTTTACCAGGCTCCAAAAAAGACTTTCCGGGTTCCACTCTAGAGGGTGCAAACATCTGCCTTCGACAAATGGGCCTTCATGTGCAAAAGCTTGCATTCCCATCCAGGCATGACTGCGAACCATGTATCGAAATAGGAAATTGTTCAGGGTATATTATAAAGTACCAGTAGCTTAAAGTCGATCCCCAACCATGCTGACCAACACAAGCCAAAAGTAACGATCAGAACAGAAACGACTTGAACCAACGAAAGCGAGGGGGGTGTCCCCTTTTAGTGGGGATTCAGACCACTTTTGGAGGGAACACCCCCTAATAATGGGACGGGTTTGTTAATCCTGGGTCAACATTCGGCCTCAATCATGTCCCTTTGGAGGAACAAACCCTTTTTCTGATGCCCTACTCTTGGCCCCAGCAAAAAGTTAAAGTGTTTGCTGGTTAAAAAGGAAATATGAGGGGAATCCAAAAAGCTAGTCTAAAGATCCAACCCAATAGCAGTAGAGTACTTTCAGGGGATCTCGAGGGTCCCTGCATCCATGCATGCGAGTTGCAAGGTGTCGATCCAGTACTTGTTCCAAAGCAGCTCCAGGATGGTGTTGTCCTCGGAAGGACCCCGAAAGAACCCCTGCAACAAGTTGTATCTGCCTGCGGAAAACGGAAGCTGAAGGAAGCAACCAAAAACAAACTGGTGCAAAGGTAAGCTAAGTCTGGCAGATCTCAGACTGGATGAACATTGGCCCCTGAAAGGAACCACAAGAAAGCACACTTTTTCATGGGGCTCGGCTCGCAGCGCCTTGCTGATGTCGAAGTGCTATCGGAAGTGGCCCTACCTGTCGACAAGCCTGACCGTCGCCTATAAATCCAGCAAAGCACGGGGCTGTCCCATTCAGAATCTAGGAGGATGTCCACCGCCCACCTCCTTCCAGACTCAACTTTACCCTTGGTGTTGGCTGGGCAGCAGGGTTGAACCGTGGAGCCCAAAGCAAACTGACAGACCTCGAGCAGAAATGCTGGAGGCTGTGGCTGGCCCAACCCTGTGGACGTCGGCCAAGTTCGGTAGTTCGCCTCCTCGGCCCCCCATCCCCCCCCCAAGAAGAGTAAACGAAGCCCGAGTTCATGTCGACGAACGCACGTGGGATGAAGGCCTTATTTTGTCTTGACTGATACACGCGTGCAGCGGAACCCATGGGACAGACCAGCAGCACCACCCGGGTCAAAAGCGATCGCAAGCAGCCGTACGTGGCATGAAGAGTTCGGCGTGAGAAGAATGCCGCAATGTGAGGAAACGGCGCTGCATACGATCACGACGGAGACCATCCACCCCCACGCGGGTCAATGGGTTTTTACAGAGCCATGCACAAGGTGAATGCCAGGGCATGAAAGGAATGCCGCGTGCAGTATCAGTGTGTCACTTAAGCCGCCGTGGCGAATGTTCTGCAGCCAACGGCTGACACCTGGCTCGGCAGCCTTCCCTGTCACAATCGGAATCAAGATGGAATTGAACATGGCCATGACTGCGGACGCATTTTCCTCACCCTAACCTGGGGGTTAAACTGACAAATATACTCTACAAAGATAAGCATGATGTGCTTTGTTGTGGCTTCCCTTGGGATTGAATTGACGATCATTCGTGCATGTTGCAACCAAGCTCAGCTGTCTAAACAAAAACCTGGAAAGGTGTCCTTCCACAAATAAAGCAAGCCCAAGTTTTCATCTGAACTCCCATCTCACTTCCTGAGTGGATTAGCCAGAAAAAGTCACCAACATCTGGCCATGGGTCAAAATCCTAAATCGTACCCCCCGTGAACATCCCAATCCAACCACTAAAATAGGTTCTAAAATGGGTGGTTTTTTTCTCACCACTCCCAACCAACATGGGATCCCATTTAACGGTTTTGACCACCACCACCATCTTTGTTTGCCACAAGTGGCAACCCAAGTGACCATCAAGTCCGAGGGAGCGAGCCCAGGTTTCTCTGGCGCGAAAATGCCTTCCCCGATCCATTCCCTATGGCCCTAGATCAATTCACCCTTGGCCCCTGATGGCCCAAGAGCTGATTGACTCAACACCTTTGAGTTAGAGATGGGCGAAATCCCAGGTCCATTGTCCATCAGCTTTCTCCTGTCAAATCTCGGTGGCAAAATTTGCGAAGCCCTGCTAAAAGCTTTAATGGAAAACCCATTTGTTGGCAAAAAGTTAAAGTCCTAACATCCAAGCAAAATGCACCAAAGAAGTTGTTGGGCCTGAGTCTGATGAGCTGAGTTCATTGGCCAGAAGCAGTTTTTTAAAAGTCGTTGGTTGTCCTCCACTACAATGACTCGCATACACCTGTAAAACTAAAACACCTTCATCTTCAACGGCCAACGCAGTTCGGCCAACTTGCCGACATGCCAGGCCCATGAGAATGGCATCTTCAAACAAGCGACCAGCACGTGGTTTGAAGGGAAACCAGCACCAAGCGTAAGTCGAGAACCACTGAAGAGGCTTCACTTTAAGGTACCCAGTCCAAACACACTTGAAGTACTTGGCTTCGATACGAATTAAGGCCACACCAGTCGACAACCTTTGGGCTCAGATCCCAGGCAAGGTACCTCTTGCTTGATGCATAATTTCCATGTACAACTCTTGGCTGGAACTAGGACCCCAGCAAAAACATATCTTGTTTGCCTGGTTAGTGGAAAACAAAGGGACCCCGAAAAAGCAAAAAGGAGAGCTAATTCTGGGGAAGAACTGGGTTTTAGCTGGGGTCGTTATTTTGACGGTTTCTGGGAGGTATGAAAGTCAGAAACTGGGCTGGTGACTTTGATCGTGCTGAAATCCTGGGGCCTGTTTTCGCCGCTGCCGTTGAGCCCTGAACACGCCAAGACTGAGAACGCTCCCCTCAAACAAAAGCAGCACGAGCGTGTCCTCCTCCAAAATTGGTTTTAAGCCCAATCTCGGTTGGGCAGATTGGAAGTGAGAAGGAGAAAAGGATAACAGGTGTGCTTTACGCCCTCCCCGATAGGAACGCTGTTCTCGGCCAGTCTGCCAAGCTGTTCTTGAAGACCTCGATGGGCAGGCTGTAGTACCTGGAGACTGATCGGTGATTTTTCGGTGGTCGGGACGTTTTGTGATTTGGCTGTTTTTGGGTAGGTGAATTCACCACCCAGTTTAGAACCTATTTTAGTGGTTGGATTGGGATGTTCACTGGGGGTACGATTTGGATTTTGACCCATGGCAATCAAAGGCGCATTTTGCTTGCTGGTGCAGTGGGCAGGGAATGAGTTGAGATGAACCGTTGTGATATTCCCAAATAAAGGCAACCACCAGTTGGATGGTTTTTCAGGAGTCATTCCAATTCTCATTTGCTCTTGAGAAGGGGTTTGGTGCTTTTAGGTTGGCCCTCCACCCTTTTCACATGGAACCTGACGTTCGGAAGTCCCATAAAAAAAGGAAACTTGTCTTCCGGGACCCCGAAACGTCAGGTTCCGCGTGAATTGGGAGGCTAGTTGGGTTGCACCCTTCAAGAAACTGCCACCCCAGGTCCCTCCGAAGTTCTGCGGAGTTTTACATCCCCAACTTTTTGAAGGTTGCTCGCCAGAATCGACGGGCCTGGAAAAGTGGCAAAGCGAAAACTATTCAAACCATGTGTTTTTGCTCCGCTCCAAAACTAAGAGATTCGAAGGTGAAAAATGCAGCCCCACAGATACGAACACACGAGTCATGTGAACCTACCCCCCCTAGGAACACTCCCGCCCGCCGCCCAGATCCCCTTGGCAAGGTCTTAGTAAGGGCTGTTTCTTCGCGCAAGTGGTTTTGCGTTTTGCGGATGAAAGGGAAAATGATGGAACACAAAAAAGAACCAAAGTTTGAAAAGACCAGTTCCCCTCCCACCAATTAACACATGGATCCTGAAGTTCGAGGGGGGAGGGGCTGAAGGGTGTGGACCTTTTCCCTTTTAAAGGGACCGGGTTCCGAACTGGCTCGGGGGTGGGTTTCCAGGGCTGAGCGCGGGACTGCTTGCAGTGAACTCCAAAGTCTTCGATCTTGTCCAGGGGGATTGGCCTCACACCCCACTCAGGATTCGAATGGAAAAAACGTGGGTTCAGCTCACATGGACTTGAAGGGGAAAAAACCCACAGCTCTGGAAAAAATCAAACATTGGGAACTAACACTTGCTGGTTGCTGTAGCGACCCCTCTCGCAAAGTGTTCCACTTTTTGCGGGTCCCAAGGAGGAATCCGCCCTGTGTCAACCAAACAGCTTTGCAGTCCAAAGATCCATTACCCCACAGCCATACAGACTGGAAACGCAAGCGTTGAACCAACTAAAGACCACGAAAAACCTTACTGGAGTGGACTGGTTGAAACAAGTGAGTCACAATCAAAGCCCGGTATTAAAATGGTCTACCCAGAACCATGCTTCAAGAATCAAGAAGGCGGATATCCGCAACTACTGGCTGGGGCTGCCCCTTACTAACCGGATCATCAATCCCCGAATCGGTTTTGATTGCTCAACTCAGTTGTTCAGTGACCCTGGAAAAAAGGGACCCCCTTTCTTGGGAAGACCATTTGAGTTGGGGCAGCCACCAAAAAAGAAGGGAACAAATTGAAGCCACTGAACAACTGAGTCAAGTGTCACGTTTGATCCTTGGTTCCAAATTGCCGCCCCGTTGCCATGGAACCAAGATCCATTATTGAAGTGGCACGGAAGCTTGGCCAATAACCCAAATCCAAATCCTTTCCCTGCGTAACAGGTCATGTCAAAGCTTGACCTTCCGCTTTTTAAGTCCGTTTTCTCTTGTAAAACGAGCTCCGAAAACAAAGAAGAAGAAGAAGAAGAAAACAAGAGAAGAATCTCAAGCTTCCAGCCAGCCTCCAAAGGTTGTTTGGGGGCTCTGGTGCCCTGCTGAGAACCAGCAAGCTTTAGAGTTGGTACTAATTGGTGCCCTCCCTTTTTGTGGCAAGGGAAAACCACAAAGTTTTGGGAGGATCAAGCGTAGGAAACCAGCAGCTTTTATCCATGTCCAAAATCACAAGTAACCAAAAAGCGGTGCTTGGGGGAGTTTTGGTCGAGGGCTCAATCCTCATGGGGCCCTTTCAGCCCAGACCGGAGCCAAGTGAGGCAAAGGCTGGTATTCTCCTGGCCCTTCGTCTGGCGGGGTGTAACCTCGCCGCATCAAATTTCACCACCAAAGAACCTTCTTTGCCGCTTCTGGATTCTGTCACCGCATAGGGCGGTTTGGATTGGTTGTTCGGGTTTGGATTTGAACCCCTGCCTGGAAGGTAAATGGGAAGCCAGCCCTAACCACCAAACCACCAAACTGTGGAAAGCTGAGATTCGACATTCAGAATTCGCACAACATGTTTCATCAAACGCCTTGACTCTGTCCGAAAGTGTCCAATGTTGACTCCGGATTCAACCATCATTGAGAAGCGAGGACCCAAGGCCTATTGATTTTACTTACCAAACGGATATGAGCTTTGCCAAGGCCTCACCAGGACGTGAATGAGAAAAGCAAGTTGTCAGCTTCCCTCGAATTGGTGGTTTGGATGTTAGACGTTGTTACCCATGAACCGTCTACAAGGGGTTCAACTCCAAACCCAATCCACAAATCTGCACCAACTCAGGGTAACCTGACAGCCAGGAGTTTTAACACAACTCAGTTGATGTTACTTGTCCACCTCTCAGAGACCCTGAAAACCACTCCCAATCGTTTGCGCCTCATGTCGCGATACTTGGCATGTTGTATTCTAAATCGGCATTTGGGCATCCTGTTCTCACGATGTTTCCACGATTTGGCATGTGTGCTGGCCTTGCTTGGCATGAAATTGTCCGCAAGATTACTCACTTCCTGAGTGGATGCCCCAAACAACTTCCCTAAGCTAACTCCTTCCTCTCTTTGCTTGGGTTGTCATCACGCTTTTTGTTTACCACATGGACCAACCCTAAAACCATACTAAAGATCAGCAACTCGGGGAGTGAGCTTTGGCTTTCTTTGGCCTCTATCCTTTGGTGCGGCTCTTTGAGCACTATCCCTCCGAGTGAGTTCGTGATCTTACCTGACCATTTGCCTGAAAATCCATGGGTTTCATGGGGACGTTTGTAAAATCCGTCAAAACCCGTGGAACCCATCGATTTCTAACCAAACTAACTGATCAAAGGACACTTACGCCTATGGGTACCCTATCTGTTTCCTTTAGGAGAATCAATCAACATGGCTTATCCTTCCTTGGTTTCGCATTAAAACCGAAGATGGGCGCAGCTTCTCGCGCCGTCCGCCGTCCCTTCCGGCGAAGAAAACTCTGGTCTATGGGAGCGACCCCGATGGGTATGGGAAAAAATGGACACCTGTTGACTTCAAAGGGAGTCTCCCCCTCCGAGCAAAAATCGGCCCAGGTATCCCCAACATGAACCACTTTGCACCCTTCCAGAACCCTAAAGTGTGTCATTTTGTTTACCACCATGGTTTAGGGTCTCCGCAGAATTTCCTTTGTAAGGCTCACTGGGCGTGTCATTTTGTGATGGCACCCTTGAAGCGACTCAGTCTGGCAGCGAACGGGGAAACTATTGGCATACTCGCAAAAAAAAAGAAGGACGGCACACACGCCACACATTCCTAGCAAGCGCCAGCTTGAATTCCATCTTCATGGCGACGCACTTGTTCTCACGACGTTTCTCTGCAGCATGATCAGCTTCCCTTTTCTTTGATTGGCCGAGTCACTATTTCCTTGTTGGAAACGCGCAAGCTGCTGCCCTTGCTCCTCAACATCTGCTTGACGGTTGAGTCCTTTGATTCGCACTTGGCCCGCAGCTTGTCAACTCCTTCTACCTGCAAGATACGGAAAACCATGCGCCAAACACAGATTGCAAGATTCCAGCCTTCTTCTCCAGATCAGCGATCTTGTCCCTGGGGTAAATGAACACCAAATGGAAACCACAATTATTTTGGCTAGCTTTGGAACCAAACCCATCACCAGACTCGAATTCCATTCTGCCATTTTCTAGGTATCTCAATTTTTTTTCAGGGAAACTCAAAGGAACCCCGTTGCGCCATTGGGTGGACGCTCACACTTCCCCTCCCAAAATAATGATGGGGTGACTTCCCCGTTTATCATGATTAGAGTTAGGCCCAGTTATAGAATGAAAATTCTATTGTTTGCTTCACTTTGAGTCACTGGTAAAATACGTAAAATGCCATTCTAAGTCTACCCCAGATTATGGCTAGCTTCCGAAAACTTCAGGCACACCCGTTTTTCCCCCAGTTTTCCCCCCGTTTTCCCCTTCGCTCGCTCGCCAAACCGATGCGCGGAGACCGGCCGCGGTTGGGGGCATCCGGGCCCCGCGCCGGCGGGATAGGTGCGGAAGGCCCCGATGTCCACCTTCCCCGAGGCGCAGGTCCGCACCTCACAAGGGGTCGGGTACTTAAGTGGTGACTATGGTTATAACCCGAAGGGAGACTTACCCCTTAAAACTCCAAGCCCTGGGGAAGTTTTCATCTTTTACAGACATATAGCCCATGTTCCCCAAAAAGTTGAGAAACGTTGTGTTTTTGAGAGGTAAGGAGACTTATAACCATGGCTTCAGTGGGTAATGGTTACTACCCACTTACTAAGTACCCTGCCCCTTTCAGCACCCGATCGAAGGCCGGCGGGGGAGTCCGAGACAGAGACCGAGGGGTGGGGGAGGTCTATGCGTCTGGAGCATTTTGTGGGGGGAACCTGGCGTTCAAAGGAAAAAGAAACCCGCAAGATGTTTGGAACCTGGCCTGTTGGGTTTGCCTTTTTGTTGAGGGTTTGCCGTTTTTGAGCGGCTTTGTTGAGTGGCTTTGCCTTGTTTGGACACCTTTTTTTGGGTTTTAAATGAAACCAAAAGGACAGCCACAAGATTTTGGGGGGTCTGAATCTGAAAACACACACGGTGTCCCTTTGAACCAAGATCCAAAGTGCACAACTTCGAGAGAAACGCCCAACGCAAAGCATGTGTTGCAGTTGCAAGTGACCCGAGTGGCAGAAAAAACAAGGGACCTATTGTCGGACCTATTGTTGGTGTTCAAAGAGACACATGGCTTTTGTTTTGTGGGTGGGCCTTTGAGTAACATATTTCCATTTGCAACCAGTGGCCTGAAAGGTAGAACAAGGGAGCCAGTTCGATTGGTTGACGCGATTTTGGCGGGGAAGCCATCTAACAAACAGGAAAGCATTGTGATTTCGGTCGGAACCCACTTCTGCCTGCTCCTGTCCACAAACACACCCCCATATGTTTGGCCCTGCTGCATGAATAGAATGAAAAGCCAAAGGGAAACGCTATGAACAATACTCTAGGGGGTGATTCCTTGTCCATTCTTTTCAACAATCATTCTTTTCAAAACCCGATCGCCGCCGTTGTGCCTGGGTTTCCGCACCCTAGAAACCTGTGCAAGTCTTTCTCTCCTAAGATGTAAGGTATCATGCTTAGGGGTATCGTTTTTTGGGGCGTCCCCTATCGAGTATGCATCTTTTGGATGCTTTGCAACAGCCGAAGACCAGTTTTGCTTTAAGTCCTTTGTCGATGGTTTTGTCGGGCACTCATATGGGTAGCTCGTCTGCTTTTTAGGATTTGGACCCCTCAATTGGTGGTTTTCCCCTTGGTTTACCCTTTAAACCCCACCAAAAAGGGGCATGCACAGAACTAGAGAAAGGGACACACACTTCTTAAATGGCCACTTGAGTGGAGCTCTGTTGGGGTAATGCCAAATGCATTTGTCCACCCAGACGCTCCCGATTTATTTTGGGCCCTCAAACAGTGAGGTTTTCCTCTGGGGTGTCCTATGGAGTGTCTGGGTCTTCTATTGGAAGCCGAAGTTAGGAGGGTTTGAGGGTCTGAGGGTTTGAGGGTCTGGGTTGTGCAGTTCGTAAGCACTGGGAATGTTCGTATAGCATAAAACGACCCTTGGTGTGGCAACGGAGTGGGAAGAAGTTTGGGCATGGATCTACTCGGTCCCGTTCTTTCAACGAAACCGTCTGACTTTGATAACCCAGTAAGCCAAAAAGTAAGACACAATGCTCAGTAAAATCTTTGTACACGTACACAAGCTCATGGGCCCCGACCATCCCACCAAAACCACCAGCCCAACTAAGGTATGACTTGGGTCTAGAACCATATGGCTGTGGCTCAAAATTAAACAGGAGGGCTTACGCAGGTTTTGGTCCATGTTTCCCCTTACCCGGGTTCCATTTTGGTACCGGTTTTTTGAGCCACAGCCATATGTTGTGGAGTTGGGTTCTAAGAACCCCTTTGGCGACAAAAAGGTCCTCATGTCCCTGCTGAAATGGAGTTTTGTGTTTAATGTGTTTAGAATTCGCAGCAAAAGAGATCTCTTCTTAGGGTTGAACATGTTTGGGTGTCGCAATGTCTCACACCCCCCAAACCGTTTCACCAACATCCCAAAGGCAAACTCCATGCTGCTTGGTGGGGGTATAGTGGATGCCAAGCCCTGCGCCGGATCCACTACCACCGCCAACCAGGGTTCCTGGTGCTGCTGGTACCTGCGTCGGAACTCATCCACGAAGACTCGTCTCAAAGTTGCCTGTGAGTTTGTCGATTTTTCGAGGGCACCCTTTCCCGAAGACCAAAAGGAACACCACGTTGTGGGTCAGAAGCCACACCCAAAGAGGATTTGGAAATAAAAGCCGAGAACACTTTGGGTTTTTCATTGCTGGTTGCAACCCAACGAATCAAAGAGCAACAGACCCCCGGTTTTGGGGCAATTTCAAAGTGCTCCCACATGCTTCAACTGATTTAAAACGCTGCCAAGAGTACCAAGACCCATCGCCAAGAATCAAGTCACAGGACAGCTTATGAAACCTACAGGAAACCAAGGCGACTCTGATCCATTTGTCTACCTCTTGACCCAAAAGATGACTAACCTTCAGAGGTTCCAAAGCGGTCTCTCTGATCCGGGTCGCAGGAGTTTACAGAACCTGATCGGTCAACTGAGTCATCATCAAAACCCGGTACTAAAATGGTCGACCCAGAACCATGCTTCAAGAATTAAGAAGGCAAACGCAGCTATATATGGAAAGGGGATTGTTCATTACTAACCTTCCCTTACCCGGGCTTTGAGCACGTGGCTCAACTGCTAGTCCCAAACCCGAACTAAGCCCTCTAAAATATATAAATCAGACATATTTTAGATTCCCTTTAAAACTAACGAGGAAAATACGAGATGAGTCCCCAGGAAACCAAAAAATAACAAATATGTCCAGTAGTGTTTTTTTTCAATCGTGTTTTTTAGAGATAGATTCCCTTTAAAACGAACAGGGAAACATAATAATTAATGAAACCATATTCTTAAGCAAATGTCCCAACCCCGCGGTTGACCGCTCCGGTCACGTCATCTGAGTCTGCACGTCGATGCCGCTGAGCCAGCAGCCGTAGCCAGGGTGGGAGTGGTACCAGCCGCAGACCTCACGAGTCGTCCGGTGAACCAAATGGGGGTGTGGCTCAAAATAGGAATCCGCCCATGGGTTGCCCTGGTAAATGGAAGTAGACTAAAACCTGCGCAACCCATGGTCTTGAATTTTGAGCCACACCCATTTGGGTCTGTCTCAGCATAGACCTCTTTTTTGGATGGGTTTCACAGGGAATCTAGGGGAAGCCGGCCATGGGGGGGGCATTTTGAGAGTGTGAACCAAAACTGGAAATCCTGGGCTTGGTTGCTGCAACGACCTCTCTGCAAAAAGTGAATCACTTTTTGTGGGTTTAATACGGAAAACCCAACTTGATTTCAACCAAAAAGATAAAGTCGAAGGATCCAACCCAATAGCAGTAGAGTGGGACCCCCAATGGCTCGAATTACTTTCCATTTTGTTTCTCAGAATAGGGGACCCCAGCCCCCCAGAAAAAAAAGAACACGATTCTCCTTTTCGAAAGCAAGCCCAGCTGATACCCTGTTCTCGAGATCCAAAAAGAAGGATAGAATGGTGTGAGATAGAGGATTGGGAAGGTTGGGTGTTCGAGAATCTATGATTTTGTTGTAGCCAACTTGTAAGTGAGTGAAGTCCTAACTGGAATAACCGTTAGAAGCCAGAAAACCATCCAGTCCTTCCAAAAACCAAAAAACGGACACACCCAAGAAGACCCACAGGAACGTATGGGGCCTGCGGTTTCCAAAGACCTTTCACAAAGTGCCTTCCTAGACCTTCAAACTTCCTGCCTTCGTCCCAAAAAAGTGCCCCAAATCCATGTGGGTGTGGCTCAAAAATAGGAATCCGCCCATGGGTTGCCCTGGTAAATGGAAGTAGACTAAAACCTGCGTAACCCTTGGTCTTGAATTGTGAGCCACACCCATTTGGGTCTGTCTCAGCATAGACCTCTCTTTTTGGGGGGTTGTGCAGGGAGACTACGGGAAGCAAGCCATTTTATTCTCTTTTGGGGCGGGGGTGTCACATAAATTTGAGTGAGAAAAGCGAAGATATCCGTACCACCTTTTGCTCACAAAACGGGACACGCCTGAAGAAAGAGCACGGGAGGCAAACAAATTCGGCAGCTTCCCCTGACAGGTCTTCACATTCTGCATAGTCATACCAGGCTGCTCAGAAGGCAACTCATTTGCTTCTGCATCGTCTCCAGCAGCTTGCCATGCTATCCAAGCTGCCTCCCCCGCTCTCGCATGTGATTTGTGGCGAATTCCTCTTCGCGGTATATATTTCATAGGCGTCGTTGCCTGCGGCGTTTCCTGAAAACGTCGACTGTCAAGGTCAAAGGTTACTTTGGAAATGTCGCACATTGCAGGTCAAGCTGGGGCTGGCACCTTGATAGTCCCTGGGTAGACCCCGCAAACCAGGTCATTCATGAAGTAGAAGGATGGTGGAAGGGCCCTTCAACATCGAAATGCGGTGGCTGGAAAGAAACTGCCTAGAAATATATTCATAGGCATCGTAGGATACAGTATTTGGCTTCTTCTGCTTGATGGCCTCAAGCTATCAGAGCATGTCAAACCAGAACGGACAAAGATCCAAAGCAAACCGTGGCGGAGCGTGTGGCCTCTTTAAGGTCGTCCACCTACCATCCCCGGACCAGTGTCCTCCTGCTGACGCTGCACTTTCTGGGCAGCCCTCCGCCGATCATATTCCTTACCCCTTAAAACTCCAAGGATTGGGGAGGTTAATCTTTTACATACATATAGCCCATGTTACCCCCAAAAAGTTGAAACGTTGTGTATTTAAGAGGTAAGATTCACCTACCTCGAAATGGGATCCCATTGGTGTCGGGCTAACATGGGAGCAGAGGTGGTTGGCCGTTCACATGGCTCGGTTTCGAACCAAACTGTCCGTTGTCTGACCCCCTGCGAAAAGTGACTAACTTGTGGGTTAAATGGACACCCAGCCACTAAACCAACTAAACGGCACTAAAACCTAAGAGACCGGATTGTCTGGGAACCACCAGATGTGACATGATAAAACACACATCACCTACTGCCTGTGCCTTTCAAACTACCTGCAGAAAGGTGGTTCGGGTGGTTTGGAGGTTAGGGGGCCACTTGACTCCAGATAAACTCACCAGGGGTTCACCTCCAAAGCAAATTAAGCACCACCTGAATCTTCTGGGTTTTGCCAGCGAACAAGACGTGTTCGCCGCCACAAAAGCAACATGAGACATGCATAGGACAGTGGGATTACTCCGAACCGCACTAAGTGGTTGAACCGCGTGGATGATCTGCTTTAACGGGCTCCTCTGGTTAGGAGCTGCCCCAGGATTAATCGGAAGTTGACGGCATTCTCCAATCACTTGGCCCAACTTGCGTGGATTGGGGTGCGAACACCTGCCGATGCCAAGCTCTCACGCGTTCTCGACCTTGCCGATGCGCTCGCAGGTCCTCGCACAGACCGGACTTCATTTGTTCCGACGTGTGTTTTTGAAAGGTAGCCTTTTTGGGGTGGTGTAAAAGGAAACTAGAGGGAACATACCCAACGTGGGGAGCGTTTATATAGATTGTCGATACTCTCAAAATGGTCCTTGGAAAGAAAGGACGTATTCCTGTCTGATCTTCTATGGTTTCGCCCCCACCAAGTCAACATAAAGCCCAAAAGCGCCTTCACCCATGCAAACAACTGGAGATTCCACCAAGAATGGCGGTTTTTTGGGGTTCTCTGTGCATCAGGGTGTCTTTGGGGTTTTAGTGAACTCCTGCAACACTATGCCCACGATCTCGTTGATGTGTCTTTTATTTCTGTGGACTAGCTACTAAGTATACGGTCGCTTGGACCTTTTTCTTCTTCCATCAGGGACACGAATCGGACGTTCCAACGTGCGGCTTTGTGCCAAGTCCTTGACCGTTCTGCTCACAACTCCATATCTTGAACCCTTTGTCCTCCAGTAGAGAGGTTAGAATAAGGGTACCCTTTTTCTGTAGTCAACTTTAGTAGGGGAACCCTCCCCAAAAAAAGGGTAAACGGGGACCTAGCTTTGTGTCATCAACACTCGAGTGCCTCATCTTGCGCAAACAACTCCTTCATTGGAGCCATTAGGCGGATCTGGAATTCCTGTTCAATACTACAGAGAAACCCAATATCACCAAACAGCGCTGCTGCAACGGCAGTTGTTGCTCTCTTCTTCTTCATCGTCGTTTTCTTCTTCTCGGCTTCCAAGTCCCCAGAAAACAGACAACTGTGTGTGTGTGTGTGTGTCTTTTGGGGGGGGTGGGCCCCCAAAGGCTGGTCTTCCTGTTGCTCAGTTGTTCAGTGACCCTGGAAAAAAGGGAACCCTTTTGACTCGTGGCGCTTCCATGTCGGTGAGGACATGCGGAAACGCGGGTCACAGGCGCATGCCGCCCCAGGACCTCACAGAAACGGGCAACTGGTGCCCCATAAAGCCAAAGTGCTCACCCCACACCTGGCGTGGCGGGCAGCGGGGTGCTGCGTGAAACGGAGTGCCACCAGGAGTGACGTGGCAACGAATTGAAGCGCCCACCAGAAGAAGGCAGATCAATCAAAAGTATGCTGTACACAGCAGAGAACCCGAAAGTTGAACAGGATCCAGCAAAGCCACATCCAGCCAGACAAGACGGGGCCTCCGAAGCCGTTGACCCAAGAGCGCCGGGAAATAAGGTGAAGCACCACACGGCTGCAGCCACTCACAGTAGAAGGACTGTAAACTATCGAAGTACCAGTCCCACCGGCAAGGAAGGTAGGAATCCCGCGTCTACCTTGGCACCGACTGCTGCAAGCACTGGAGACCCACAGGTACCATGAGAAAAGCCTGCATCACAACTGCCGAAAGTCCCACAGTGACGAGAGGGCACAACCAGGCTCCAGAAAGAACCACCCAAATATGCAGACGCAGAGCGTGCAGAGGACGAGTCATCAAAGGGGTCAAAAACCCGCAAGGAAAGGCCCGCGGCACCTTCACCCAAACAGGTGTTCAGAAGATGGGGCCAGCCCGAAGGCCAGGAATCTTCACGGGTAACAGGGGGTTCACAAGGAGCAGGTTGAAGACGGAGCTGCCAGCCATGGCTTTTTGGACGCTGGACCGGGCTATGGAGCCCCAGCCCAGCCCCGGGGGCTCAACTCCCTGAGCCGAGGGGCCTTTGAACCCGGACGGCTAACAGGGAACCCTTTTTTGGGCAGACCATTTTAGTGGGGCAGCCACCAAAAAAAAGGGGAAAAGGGAACAACTGAGTTTGGCTTCCTTTTAAAACCATCCAAAAGGAGGTACCCTCTTTCGATCCATCAAGTGGACAGAGGGGCTCCCCTCGGAACATCTTCCAAAAGCCCCGTGCCCGAACCCCGATTGGAGGGGGAGCCAACTCAAAAGACGAGCCACCAACCCTTTCATTTGAGGGAACCCTCTCATTTTCGAGGGAACCCGCTCATTTTCGAGGGAAAGCGCTCATTTGTTGAGGGAACCCGCTCATTTTTGAGGGAAAGCGCTCATTTGTTGAGGGAACCCGCTCATTTTCGAGGGAAAGCGCTCATTTGTTGAGGGAACCCGCTCATTTTCGAGGGAAAGCGCTTATTTGTTGAGGGAACCCGCTCATTTTCGAGGGAAAGCGCTCATTTGTTGAGGGAACCCGCTCATTTTCGAGGGAAAGCGCTCATTTGTTGAGGGAACCCGCTCATTTTCGAGGGACAGCGCTCATTTGTTGAGGGAACCAGCTCATTTTCGAGGGAAAGCGTTATTTGTTGAGGGAACCCACTCATTTTCGAGGGAAAGCGCTCATTTGTTGAGGGAACCCGCTCATTTTCGAGGGAAAGCGCTCATTTGTTGAGGGAACCCGCTCATTTTCGAGGGAAAGCGCTCATTTGTTGAGGAAACCCGCTCATCCCCAAAAAGTTGCCCATCCCCAAACAATCCGGCAATTGCCCGTCCCCCAAAAATGACACGGTGAGAAAGGGCACCTAGCTGGGGGACCTAGCCTGTTTGGTGCCTGAAGATCCCTTGAGTTGGTATTTTGGGGTCATGGGACCTTTCCGACATGAGGCTTAAAACAAATCAAAGGGAACCCTCCCAACCAAAAAAGGGGTAGATTCCCTTTAAAACCAACAGGGGAAAATAAGACAAATATTCCTTTCAGATGGAAGAAAAAGGGGTAAGGGCACTTAGCTGGACCTTGGAATCCCATAATTGAAGACCAAGTATTCAGAGGGCCCCCCCCAATTCTTCAAAGAGCATGGAGCTGGAGCTTTCGAAGGCGGTGAAACAAAATGGCTTCGTGCACTCCTCTTGGAAAAAAAAACACCGACGATGACCCTGAGTGGAATGAACCCCCCGAAGACCAGTGGAACCCATCCATTTCTATCCAAACGAACCAACAAAAAGACACCTGTGCTTTCCTTCGCCGAGTTCAAGAAAACCCACGGGGCGCCGGGCTCGGTAAAGGTCACCATGAACTCGTTGGCGCCGGCGCCGGCGTTCACCTCGATGGCTCGAAGCATGGGAAGGGCGCCACTCACGCCGTGGCGGTCCGTGTTCAGATCTAGACAAATATCAAAAAATCCCCCTCTTGTTTTAACTGTTCCCAAATTTCTAGTAGGTAGATCCAAAAAATAAGCAACGTAGCTTCTTTTTTAACTGTTCCCAACATTGTAGTGAGTAGATTTGCTCAACGTGACTAATTTCTGGGTCACTATATTAATCCAACTAAAAACAACTAAACTTAATATGAACCCCCAACCACTATATTAATCCAACTAAAAACAACTAAACTCCCAAAGAACCGGATGGCTGTTTCAATCACCAAGACAAGCCGCGGCGAAGAGCCATGAATCTCCAGTCAGGGTGGGTTGGCTGAATCCGTAGGAAGCCGTGCTTCAGCCATGGCACGTCTGAGGGGTTGAGGGGTTTGCTTCCAAATGTTCGGCCATAGGTTTGCAACATCTTGGGCAAGATGGCATTCCCATCGCAAGGTACGACGCTAGACCAGCATGGAAGCGTGCCATCCTCCTTCACCCAATGTGTTAAAAAAGAGAGCAAGTGTTTGATCTTTCAAATAAAACATCGAATCATGAGCCCCTAATACGCCTCGGACATGGTAGTGTCACGGAACCAGGAATGTTTCTCCGACTCAGAACGAATAACTTCAGAAATTACCAACCAACCTTCCAGACCTCCACTCTTGTTTTGGGTCGTTGATTTTCCAGGGTTTTTCCCCTTAAAGCAAAGTTGACCGAGCTCGCAAGCCAATGGGAACCCCGCATTCATAAACCCCCAGTTGATTTGATCAACCACCTTTTAGTGGGGCTTTACTTTTGGAGATGCAACACCAGAACGTCCCGTTGATGTTGACCCCATATGAATAAACACCTGGTTGTTAGGGGGTGTTCCCCTCCGGAAATGATTCGATTCCCGGCTAAACCCCGGGGAAAGCACCAGATTCTTTAAACTGAGGTGTATTCATGTGGGGTTGCCATTCGAACGGTTCGAGTTAGATCCGCCAACATCACCAGAAACCGACTGAGCCCCCGGGGCCCGCGCCCGCGTCTCGGTGCCCTCAACCGGCAAAGGGAAGGCGTCCATGATGATGAACTCTCGGTCCAAGGTGACCTGCCGCGGACAAAAAAACAAAAAACAAGAACAAACGCAAAAACAAAAAACGGGGAACCCCCCCCCCAAAAAAAAAAAAACAAGAAAAAACAAAAAAATCCGGAAAACAAAAATAAACTCTGGGAAAGCCAAAAAAAGCTGACTCTCTCGCCCGATTTTCAGAGACCTGGCAAAGAAAAGCGAGCTGAGTCTGGGGAGGAATCCTCTGAAGTGTCAAAATGTGCGGCTCCAAATGTTCATCCCCTTCAAGAAGGCAGCGCAGCACCAGCGGGACGTCCATTTGCTTTTCGCTTTTCGCCTGGGGCAAAAATGAGCAAATATGTGTAGTGAAATCGATTCCAACTTTAAAACCAAGGGAACATATTGTTTGAAATGAAAAACAAACTGATTTCAGCAAATGGAAGGAACACCATACTTTGAGAATCTCCCCATGTCATAAAGCTTCATACAGGCTTTACTATGACCTCAACAGCAGCTAGTAGAACCAGGCCCGTGCCTCCCCCGAAAAGGAGCATGTCGGCTTGCTTTCCGGAGTGCCATACGGCCCCGCCAATACATCCCATTCCGCTAAGAGTTTGCTTTTGAAAAGACGCGCTTGTCTTGGTTGACGTTGGAAGGGGAGCACAAAATCTCAAATTTTAGCAGTTGAGTGGAAGGGGAGTTAACATTCTCAATTTTTAGCAGTTAAGTGGAGATTTCCCATTAACACACAATAAGCAAACATGAAAAATGTTTCCCAACAACAACCATGTTGTGGAGATGTGTTCTTTATTCTTTGACTCAAACGCCTGGTTGCTGCATTTTGCACATGCTGGAATGGCAGGGCCAATGGATTTCGTCCAGAAAGTCGCCATGCTCCGAGGGAGTGGCTACCGAGGCGTGCGCGCACGCCTATAGGTGGAGTTTAGGCGCTGCTCAGGTGGGTTTGACTCGCTTGAGGCTCGGTACCCTAAAAGAAATGTTTTGTTTGAAAGAGAAACCAAACGGGAAAACCACACAAGCTTGGGTGTGGGTATGTTTCAAAAATCCCCCAAGATTGTAGTTGTTCTTTGGCTTCCGGGTTTGTGTATGTGTCCTTTTGGCTCCCTTCAAACCAACTTGAAAACCGTGCCGTTGAAAAGCACGAAGACCAACTGGTGAAACCCAGACTAAGCCCACCGACTCACTCTCGACCCATGCTTGGTTTTCAAAAAAAAACTTCTCCCAGCCCCCGAACCAATCCGCATAGAAAAAACCTGGCAGTAGCACCTTAACTAGGCCTTATTCACCTCTAACTTGCTCCTACTGTGGATGGACGAAATCCTGCACCACCTAAGATACCCAGGAATGATGATTCTCCTGTAATACCCACAAACAATGGTTTCGCATGGTTTTAAAGTGGTGCAGGATTTCGTCCATCCACAGTATTGGCTCATCCTGAGCTATGTTCCATTCAAGTGGTACAACCCACGAGCTTCGCATCAGCCACTCTCATAGCGAGTGCTGGGGCTACGAACTTCTTTCTGTAGTCCATTTTTGTAGGGGAACACTCCCCCCAAAAAAGGGGGAGAGAAGGGCACTACTGGGAGACCTAGGCAACCAACTGTGAAACTCGTTTGTGGCTCCCTTGCTTGGGACTGTCTGAAAAGACCTTGCGAGTTCTTCTAAAGTACTTGCCTCGCTTGCCCAAAAAGCCAGGACAAAAAGGCAGAATGGCAAAAATACTCACCGTTAGATGCATGGACCTGGGCAACCTTCAAACAAAAAGGCGTCAGGTATATAACATGGAAGTGCACAGACCCCTGTAGAAAGACGACTTTCCTCTTGGAAGGGGCCTTTTTGCACGTCCATGTCAGTTGGTGGGAGGGTAGTTGTTTTATGTTCCCCTGTTGGCTTTTTAACAGGAAAATCTCGCCACTGGACAAATTGTTAAATGTTCCGGTGGACTTCAGATTTCAAGACAAGGGTTAGGTAGCGGGTATTTTTTCCAAATGTGTGCCTGGAAGACCGATGGAGTCAAAAGCCAACATTTGATCCACCGAGGTTTCCACTTCCTGGGGAAGTGGCCTGGGATGCAAAGCTTTTGAGTTGTACCACCCGACCTCTGGAACATAGCTCAGGAAAAATCGAAACGTAGGAGCAAAACTCACCGTGTTGGAAGTTCAAACCCCGGCGCGGGCATCTCATTTTGTGGCTCTTTCACTTGGGCTGTCCACACATCCACTGCAAAAGCTTGACTTTTGGTGGGCTAAATGGACCCCCCCCGCTACCTCCTAAAATCTAAAAACCTAACGGGATGGCTGGGAACCACCCAGACTTTGGGGGTTTCGATCATCCTACGAATCGGGAAGCGCGGGCCCTTTTATTTTCTATGTATATATATATATATATTTCTCTTTTCCGGATTTCGGCCGCATCACAGAAAGGCCCATGAGAAACACGGGAACGGGACCTGCAGATCAAATCTGCAAAATACTGGACAAAAGCCATCGAGGATAGACCGAGCTCTATAAATTAGGATGGATGACACCTTATACATAGTGGGAGCAATTGCCAATCCCAAGCGGTAAATGGATTTTGTCCATCAGAAGCCAACATCCAACCGGTTTTTGGAGACTGAGGTGAATTTCTCCCTCGCCCTGACTCCCTCGCGCCTTTCCCTGCATGAGCCCCATGACCTGCAGTGAGTGCCGGGAGAAATGGTCTTACAGGCTACCTTCGACAAATATAGCCAACTTATGTATTTATGTATATAGATTATGTATATGTGCGAGTGGTATATATGTACATAGATTATGTATATGTGCGAGTGTGTGTGTGTGTGTGCATCGTTTTGAGCCCCGCCCCCCCAAAAGAAGAAAGACAGTGGTTTGCCTTTCGTTTAAAGCCACAAACAAAATATGCGTTCGAAAATACGACACATTCATTGTCTCGTCCAAAAGTGAGACAGGATGGTCCGGCCCAGAACGAGCACCCTGATCGAACCCCAGCCCTTTGCTCTTAACGTAAGAACCCTTTAGTGTAGACCCTGCTTGGGGAGACATGCATACTTGTTCCCCAGTAATGATCAAAACCCAATACAAAAACGGTGCACCCAGAACCATGTAAAGAACTAAGACGGCGGATATCCGCAGCTATTTATGGTTGGGATCGTCTCTTACCAATCTTCATCTACCTGTGTTTTGATTGTGGCTCAAGAGGGTTTGGACCCCATGGGTCTTTGACCCGATCCGCGTTTGGTCCAGTGGAAATCAGGGAAGGGACCTAGCGATCGGTAGCCCCAAGGAAGCTCACTGTGGCATTGGGTGGCTCGTCCGTCTTTGACATTTACCAAAGCCTTATTTGGTTGCTGTTAAAGGGAAACCAAAAGGACCACCAGCAATTTGTGCGGGGCGGGTCCGCGAAACAAAGGCACACCCATTGTTCGAACCATCTCCTTCTCTAGGAGAGGTTGGAATAAGTTGGTACCCGATGGTTTTCTGTAGTCTAGAACAACCAAAAAAAGGGGAGAGACAGGGCACCTTGCTGGGGGACCTAGTTCCATTTGCTTAAGCCCTCTGATACAAATAAACATATGTCCAGTAGTGAAATCGATTCCCTTCAAATTGTCAAAGTTAAGACTGGTTTCCCTTCAAATTTGCTTCTGGTCTCCCTTCAAAAGGTGAGAGAAAGGGCACCTTGCTGGGGGATCTAGTTCTGGTTTCCCTTCAAAGCCAAAACTTTTGGTCTGGCTCTTACCCATTTCCCTATGCCAGCCAGGAATCAAAAACTGGGATGAAAATGGTCTAAGGCCGACCCAAACAAAGCCGAAATCGACCCCAACCTAAATCCACCCCAACCAAAATCTAGTAGTCTCCCACCCCCAAAAAAAGAAGAAGGAAAATAACAAATCTTCATTGCAGCCAATGGACGCCATACGCCAACACACACACACACACCAACCAGCATCAAACAGGCCAACCCGCACACCCACCAAGCCAAATGAACCATCCAACTAGTGGCCTTTTGTAACGGAACCAAAGCCTGGCTTCATTTCCACATTCCCCACCTATCGCACAAGCAAGTTTTGATTATACTAGGGGTTGATTCTCCATTCTTTTCAACCATCGGTCTTTTCAAAACCGATCGCTGTTTCCCTGAAAATTTGATGGTTTCCTGAAAAGATTCGGATCCCTGAAGGAATGGAAACGGAAGGTAGCCCTAGAATTCTGGCTAACAAGATGATTTGTTGTCAACCTTTGAACCCTCATCTGGACTCCTTGAAACCAACGCCTGGTCTCATCCCACATTCCCTATCGCACAAGCAAGTTTTTTTGATTCTGGATGGCTTCATGGTTTGTCTTCCCTAGTTACTTGCAACAGGAATCTTCCCTAGTTACCTTCCCTAGTCTCCTGAAAGAATGGGGAAGGTAGCCCCAGAATTATGGCGCAGGTCATTCCCGTCGTTTCCGCCTCCAGGGGCGCGCCGGACTTGGCGTGCATCACGATCTTGATCATGGCCACAGCGGACATGCGCACGGACTGGCAGAGCGCGCGAGGAATCGTTTGGGGTATGCCTCAGGTCTAAGTTGACGTTGGAAGGGGAGCAACAAAAACAAATCTGGCAGTTATCTGGTTGGATTTCAACCGCTAAACCAGGGACACCCCCCTAGTAATTTGCCTTGGTTGACGTTGGAAGGGGAGCAAAAAGACTCAAATTTTGGCAGCTACGTGGATATGGATTTCAACCGCTAAACCAGAATAAGGCCAAAAACGGGCAAAACATGTTTCCCAACAACCATAAGGTGGGGAACTCCACGTCTTTGGTCGAAGTTAAAAGAAGAAAAGCCAAAGACAACAGGGAAAATGGGCAGAGAATAAAAAATGTTTTTTTAGGGGGGCACTTCACTCCCTTTTTGGCCGACCATGAAGAAACGAAGAAAAAGGGGAAAGAAAAGACATCATTTTTCGGCTGATCTCGTGTTTTTCGGCTGATGTGAAGGGATTTGGAGGCTGGAATAGGTAGAGGGAGATCTTCTACTTTGACAAGGTTTTTGCGGGGCAGCCACCAAACGCAGACAGATCTGGAACAAATAGCTTTTTGGTGGTGTCTGAGCCACAGTGGAACTACACTCCCTCCCACGAACATTGCACCTGCCAGGGGGTTCCTTAAGAGGACCTTTGATCTTCCAGGTACCTCCCCACAGGTGCCATGTTAGTGGGAGGAAGGGTACTTAAATTCTAGACTTCGGGTTGAACGTTGACTTCAACTTGAATGGATCTATGAAGATCGGTCAACATCTCCGGTCTATAGTCTCGGGACACGGCAGACTCACAGTGTGTTCCACAAGAAGGTGAAAGAAGTTTTTCTCAAGTGGCCATGGGTCAAATTCCAACTCGTAGCCCCAGTGAACATCCGATTCAATCCAACCACTCAAATCGGAAGCCTAAAATGGGTGGTGAATTCACCAATCCCAACCAAAATGGGATCAACTAAAACGGTTTTGACAACCACGGCCAAGTCGCCTTGGTTTAAAGTCCAGGCGGCTCTGGGAGCCCACGGTTTCCTTTAGGCAAAAACAAGAAGGCACGCCTTCGACCTGAATTGAAAAAGGCAGAAGCTAGTGCAATATGTTTCTTGTGTCGCTAAACAAAAATGTAAAACACCATAGCCAACAAAGACCACTGGTCTTTTATTAAAACCCAGTAACAACCCATTTGTTTTTACAACACCTTCCTGCGAGTTTAAAGGTTGCCAACTCCAAAGTAAGCCGGGAACTCCTTTGAGAACTCCAAAAGGTAGTGAGGATTAAGACTCCGATGTGTCTGGAACGGCGGGGCCCGAACATGAATCGGCCACCCGCCCCACTTGAGCAGGTATCAAACCCCATTTATTTTTGGCTCTACCAAGATAGTGACTGGTTTACACTGACTCTTCGAGGTCCTCCAGTAGAGAGGTTAGAATAAGGGTACCCGATTTTTTTCTGTAGTCTATTTCGTAGGTCCCATCCAAAAAAGTTGGGTGAGAAAGGGCACTACTGGGGGACCTAGTCTTTTGTTGTTTTTTGGGGCGATCTGGAGCCACGAGCCACTTGGCCAATGGCTTTCAGCCCACCTTGAAGAAGTTCACATCCTCCTTCCACGGCTTCTTGTCGAAGATGGCATCTTGCTCCGCCTCGAGGGCTCTAGAACGGAAAACCCGACGGGTCGCATGCAACGACTGTGGCACTTTTTGTCAGGTTGATTCCATTTTTGGGAGGCCACCAAACCAAACAGGGAAGCGGGCGGAAAAGAAACGGAGCCCCTTTTGGTTGACAATTTCAGTGGCCATGGGCCTTTGCTTCCCGCGTAGGACATGGGACAACTGGGGTTCGCCTGTTCTGGTGGGAAACGGAGAAAGCTACGTCCTTCCCAAATGCATGGATACTTGACCGAAGCTCATTTGGATTGTACCTGAGCTGTTGCCTAAGCAACATGAAAATGTCTCCACATGGTCCGTATCTGATTTATTGAGTGGACTGGCAAAGACAACGCCTAAATTTGGTATTTACTAAAATGGTCCAAACCCAAAAAGTCACTAAAGTCCAGGAACTCAGGGAGTGAGGCTATTAGTATCCCAGAAAGGGTTCCTCAATTTTCCTTGATGGAACCTGTGGATCACTTTCAATTCGGAAACCAGTAAGTTGGTCTCAGCTTGGTTGGCGAAATCCAGATAGCCGCCGAGAAAGTTTAGGTGCCTTCAGCCTGACGGGTTTCGTAGACACTGCATGTGATGTGAGACATTGACATGAACACAGCTATTCTAGTATCCAACTTTGACAAACATCTGGGTGCAGGATAATCTTTCCTGGGTTCGGTCGAATTCTGTCTTGCAAATGGTTGATCTGAAATAACCCGTTCGGTCGCGGCACTGCGCGTCACGGCTTCTGAAACCCCAATAAGAGGGCTCCGTCTCGCGGCGACTCCTGAAATAAAACTGTACTTCAGACATTGGACCCCATGGACTCAGGGGGGTCTTTTTGCCTTTTGGTGGAAAATTGCTCGACCCCCCGCGTAGCGGAAGGAGTCCTTTTTGTTTGGGGTCGCCAATCTTCTCACAAGAGGTGGCAAAAAGGCCCCCCTTGAGTGGAATTCTGGGTGACGCAACGCACAGCAGCTCGACTTGCATGCCAAAAACCGCGGCTCGAGCCCACAAAGTACTGCGAATTTCTGAGCAGCGGCTTCGGGGGGGTGGCGGGCACGCAACTGGACGCAGATGCCCCTGTGGATTTCCAGGGGAGAAAAACGGGCATGTTCTTTTTGGGTTGGTTGAGTTGAAAGGGAACCCTTCCGGAAAACAAAGAAAAAAAGAGGAAGAACGGGCACCGCTGGGCAACTGGGTGAATTTCTGCCAGCCCGTATTTCAGGATTGCTAGGTCGAATTCACAGTGAGGTCGGGTGACCTCGCAAAAAATGTTCCCAGAAATTAACAGCCTGCGAATGGCGACGTCCGGAGAAGGATTTATCACAGCAACCACAGGTAGCTATGGGGACAAACGGGGGCTAGGAGTGCGTTTTGAGCAAACTTTGAGAGAAGCATCACATTGGGCTTCTGGTACCACACCCGAATTCCCGGGTCTCAAATGGGGCCATTGACCCTTTGGGCACACAGAAATGATATTTACACGCTACACAAATGAGAAAGTCCCACCAAACTCCAGCACAAGAAACTTGAACCCCCCCCCCACCCCCTATGCTTTGACAGTGTCAAAGCGCTAAATGTAGTGCTGGGGGTTTGGATAAAATCCAACCGGGTCGACCACCCAGAACGTTTGCGCCCAGTCTTGCCAAGCACGCCTGGTCGAATGCGTAGATGGTTGCGTCGTCTACAGGGACAACCTGTCAGGTTGCCGAAATGCCACCCGGTTTTCACACCCGACAATCATATCAAGAAAAAAGGTTGGTGGCCAACTCCAAGTATTTTCTTTTTGCCAGTGACTCATATCCTCTTGAAACATCACCCCCTCCAAAGGGGAATCACCCCTAAGGGGATAGAGATCCAGAACAAGACATCTTGAACCGACTAGGGGACAGAACAGGGCCTAGAGATCCAGGCCTTCTGCACGACCCCTAGCAACCAGAAGCTAAAGATCGAATCACTCCAAAAGGGATAGAGATCCACTTTTAAAGACGTCGCACGACTTCCTCCGTTAAGGGGTAGGTGAAAAGTCGCGCAGTTTCACTTAATCGACGCCTTCCAACGGCAAAAGGGAAAATGGGTCGGAATAAAACAAATCCCAATCTGTTTTCAGGGGGGACATCTGCATTGATGCGAGGTAAACCTTCGCCAATTTGACAAAGGATCCAAGAAAGGTGCTTCAGCAACCCTTGGGAAAATAGAGCAAACCCGAGAGATGTCGCCTAGGACTGATTTGTGCCAAGGGCAACACACTGAGTCGTTGTATATACCTGTATATATATATATATATGGGTGACTTGTTATGAGGGTACTTCTTTTGTTGTGGTTGATAAAGGGAAGCCACAAGGAAACCGAAACATTTTGGTTTGGTCTGCATCCACAGGCCTTAGCCGCTGCTTTTTGCCGACTGGGTATGCTTCCCAGAAAGTGCACTGGGGGTTCTGTCCCAGGGATGCACCTTTCCCCCTGCAACAAGTTGACAGTTTGCTGGTTGAAGGGAAAATGATTCGGACCCCCCCCAAAAAAAAAGGTTTACTCTTTGGAAAAGGAACAGGATTCGGACGCCCCTCCCCCCAAAAAAAGAGCAAAAGGCCAAAAAGGTAGGTGAAGTCTCGCCAAGAAATGGGTGCACAACAATCCTTCATGCGTTGGACGACCGCCTGGGCCTCATGACTGGGAATCACGAGCAGCTTGAGGTTGTTTAAAGCTGCAATGATTTTTTTTCCCGCTTCAGGGGTACAGACTGCCAAAAAAAACATGATGTACGTCGTATAACCTCCGCAGCTCCAACAAACCCACAGGTTGTGTTCACCAAAAGTGGTTCAAGGGGTCTGGTCTGCTCCCAGCCTGATTCTCCAGCTCCCAAGTCTTTTGCGCGGTGCTGGCCATGCTAAGGAAGGCAGCACTGTGCTACTCGTCTTCGGGACCCGATGCACAGATAGTGCTGTCAACAGGTCTGCAACACAAACATCTCTTTTCCTTGAACACCTAGAGCGGTCAGGTGTGCCAATAACTAACACATTTGTGCAATCCACCGATGTTTACCGTCCGGCGATCGGCAAAACACAAAACCTTCGAGCCTTGTGCTAGAGCCTCTGCCTGGGGTGCCATGTGTTTTGCTGTTTTTGCGTGGCAAATCTGCTTGGCGAGTTCCACTTGGGGCGGCTCTTCACTCTTGCAACCGCCGAGCCGAGCCGGCGCGAGCTCATGTTCACAGCTGCGGGAACAGTGGTGCATCGCAAACCCATGGACTTTGGGTTCTGAGTAGAATTTTTGGCTCGTCTGAAATGGGCCAGACATTCCCGAACAGTTGGACACACCTGATATAGCCTCATGTAAACGCTAGGCTTCCAGCAAGCCAAACTCAACCCCATCGCCGCGATCTTCCACACTCTCCCTGTCCAGAAACCTAGTCAAAGCAAGCAGAACTCCTTCCCAACTTGGGTATCGCAATCAACAAAAGGCCCTGGGGCTGCCTTCGGTTTCTTGCACGTCAGCCGTGTTGCGTTGACGAGAGAGATCGTTGGTAGAGGCTACCATCTTCTCTGGGTATTTGGGCGCTTCTCAAGAATAGGAGTCCCTTATAATTACTCGGTTCTGCGGTTTCCGTTTGCCTCCCTTTGCAATGCCCACCAAGAAGGGCCCACCATTTTCAACAACTCCCAGATGAACATCCAAGAACTCACTTCCTGAAGAAAGGTCCAAAACATTTATTTCCGTTTGTGAACTTCTACTTCCATTTGCTTGAGTCCCCTGAAAACACAACAATATATCCGGTAGTGATAGATCCACTTTGAAACCAACAGGCTTCAAAAATCAATCTTGAGCACATGGACGTCTGCATGTGGCAGACATTCAACACAAGTTCAAACAAGACCCCCGCTAAGCAAATGGAAGACAGTGGCATCGTCATGGTCATTTGGAGCCGCCGATTAAAACCTGGGCAGAGGGAGGGTTCTGGGTAAGCAGAGGAGAAACAACTGTGACTCACTTCCGATCGAGTGGACCAAAAAAAACAAGCTTGTTATTTGCCACCAAAATGGACCCACCCCAAAAAGTGAGACTTTATCCGAAACGGAAACGCAGCAAGTGCAGACTATAGAGCCAAACAAATCCCAAGTCTTCCACGGGGACGTAGTCAATGCCTAAAGGTTCGGTCACCTGGTCACCCCCTTTAATTCCAGAGGAAAAAAGGACCCAGGTAAACTCTGACTTTTCGTTTCCACACCAATCTGCGCTGAGACCGACTCTTTCTTGAGACAACCCAAGTTTGAGGCCGGCCAGCGAGTATCACGCATCAGATCTTCCTTCCAGAGGCGATCGCAGCTCACCTAGTGTGTGAAACTGGAATTCCAAGGATGCAAGCAGGCATGCATGAACACAAACACAGCTTGGATGCATTTGATGCTGGCAGTCGATGCGAGCTGAAGTTAACTCATGCGAATGCTGTCCATTGCCATGCGGCCTTATCTGCAGTTCTTGAACAACAACTTGAACGGATTCCCCCACAAGCGCAACAACTGGCGGCTCATTGCCGAATTCCTGCTATTCTCAACTGCAAACTACCTACAGGGCTGGGTCGGCGACGATGTCTGCGGTTAGCCAACACCTGCAGCCAATCTTGGCAAAGCACACGATGTGGTCCAATGAACCCCCCAAGCACCTGTATTTGAAGATTTTCCCAGATAGCTGAAAGCTATAGGGGTTCTAACTTCTAATAAAGAAGGAAAAGTGATTTGCGAGATTGAGGGCCGGGTGCTAGGGGGCATGCTGTTTGGGGTGCTGGTGGAGATGCTGCTTTGCAAGCTTGACGGCCGGTGCCAGGTGGCGTGCAGTTTGGGGTGCTAGTGGAGGTGCTGTTTTGCGAGGGTGCTAGGGGGCATGCAGTTTCGGGTGTTGGTGGAGGTGTAGTTTGGGGTGCTGGTGGAGGTGCTGTTTTGCGAGATTGACAGCCGGGCGCTAGGGGGCATGCAGATTGGGGCGCTAGTGGAGGTGCTGTTTTGCAAGAGTGATGGCCGGGTGCTAGGGGGCATGCAGTTTGGGGTGCTAGTTAGTGGAGGTGCTCTTTTGCGAGAGTGATGGCCGGGTGCTAGGGGGCATGCAGTTTCGGGTGTTGGTGGAGGTGCTGTTTTGCGAGAGTGATGGCCGGGTGCTAGGGGGCATGTAGTTTGGGGTGCTAGCGGAGGTGCTGTTTTGCGAGAGTGTTCGTGGAGGTGAGATTGACGGCCGGGTGCTATTAGGCATTCAGTTCATGGTGCTGGTGCAGGTGCTGCTCTGGGGTGTTGTTTGCTTGAGGTGCTGGTGAAGGTGCAGGCGCATGTGCTGATGCAGGTGCCGTTTTGGGGTACTGTTTGGCGACGTTGTGGGCGCAATTTTCCAAGATTGCTGGCGGCCGCTAGGGGGCATGCAGTTTGGGGTGGTGGTGCAACTGCTGTTTTGGGTTGCTGTTTGAGGCGCTGCTGACCGCACGGGCGCTTCTTTTCAAGATAAATGAAAACCATAGGGGTTCTAACTTCTAATGAAGAAGGGGAATTGCTTTGCAAGATCGACTGTTGGGAGCTAGGGGGCATGCGCTTTGGGGTATTGAGGCGTTGGTGACGGTGCAGGCGCATATGGACGGCAGGGTGCCAGGGCGGGTGCTGTTTCATGATGCGGTTGAACCGGTCGGACGTTGCGTTCTAACAGTCGTTTGTGATGGTGCGTGGTTCGTGGCTGGTGTGTTATCATGATGTTGTCACCCGCGTCATGACGCTGCTGTCACTGCGATGCTGCGATGCTGCGTTGTGGTTCGTGGGTGTGGTGGCGCCACGATTGCTGTCAACATCAGGATGATGCTGAATTTCATTACGCTGTCGCGAGAAGATTCGTGGCTGTGGTATCATCATGATGCTGCCTTTACCATCACCATGATGCTGTTCGCATCACCGTGATGCTGTCCGCATCATGGTGATGCTGTCCGCATGATCGCGACGCAGTCCGCATCATCATGGTGCTGTCGAACTCATCAGGACGTCGTCTCAGCCTTTTTTCTGCTAGATATGTGGCGCGGAATCGTTCGTTGCTGGTGCACCTGCGTGATGCTGTCAACATCATGATTCTGCTGCTGAACTCATTAGGACGCTGTCTGCGCGTCTATTCAGTGCACCATGCTGAGTGGCTGTGGTATCATCATGATGCTGCCTTTACCATCACCATGATGCTGCTCGCATCACCGTGATGCTGTCCGCATCATGGTGATGCTGTCCGCATGATCGCGACGCAGTCCGCATCATCATGGTGCTGTCGAACTCATCAGGACGTCGTCTCAGCCTTTTTTCTGCTAGATATGTGGCGCGGAATCGTTCGTTGCTGGTGCATCTGCATGATGAGGCAGCGAGTGATGCAAGGATCTGGCACAAGCTCAGCTGCGGTTTGGGGTCAAGTGGGAAACCTGCGGTAGCTTGGGTGACTTTGGTAAAATCAGGGGGGCGAAACGGAGATCAAAGGTTGTACCAAACGTTTGGAACATACCCCAGGATAATCCAAAACAGGGTAACTCAGCGGCAAGTAAGCCCTAACACGGCTTAACCGTCCAAGATTTCTTCTTTCGGGCTTGGTGTGAGAGTCGGGGGAAGTCTTTGCATAGAAACTCAGAGGTAGCCGAGTGAATCCAATAGGATCGGGATGCGCCCAGCTTTCCCTGAAGCGAGTGAACCAACCAACTCCCAAGCAGGTTGGATGTTTAAATTGGGGGGTATGCTTCGTGCACAAACCCCACTAATATACATTTCCAGAAAACAAACAAAACAGAAATTAGCAGAAACAAGCTGGTGTTCAACGTCTCCCATGTTTTGTGAAGGCCAAAATGTAAACTGGGCTGTCCTCAGATCCCTTGCAAAAAGCTTGACTTTTGGTGGGTTAAATGGACATCCCCCACTTAACCCTAAAAACCTAAAAACCGAAGGATATCGCCGGGAATCACCAAGTAAAATGGTGCACGTTGGCCCAGGCAGTTCGCCAACAACTCACAGGGTTCCACGGAAAGCTGTTCGCGATGCCAAGTAAGTCAGAATAAAAACCTGGTACTAAAATGGGCGATCCCCAGAACCATGTAAAGGCTTAAGAAGGCGGCCACGCCCATCTATGCTAGGTCCTCCAATAGAGAGGTTAGAATAAGGGTGCCCTTGTTTTTCTATTTCAGTAGGGGAACCCTCCCCCAAAAAAGAATCGGTAAAAGGGCACTACTGGGGGACCTAATGCACGGCTCCCTATATTTCCCCTTAAAACATCACCCCCAGCAAGGGACACTCACCTTTCATGGGCCACAAAGGTGATGTTTAAAACCGCCAGAAAGGGAAATATAGGGAGACACATGTAATATGGTTGGGATTCTCCCTAAGCTTCATATTTCCCCAAGTTTGGAGCACGTGGCTCAAGCCAGCTTAGAGCAGGAGCGTCGGCTTGTGGAAGACCCAGACCTTCCATTATACACCCCGGAGTAGTTTTTGATCTCAAAACCTGGCTGTTTGAACCAAAATCAATCGGGAGCGTCTGATCACACGAGCAAGCTATTGGCAATTGTTTCCCGCGCCCTCTCCACCTAACGAATTTGATTTGGCATCTCTACATGGTCGTGGAATATATAACCGTCCTGTCCACAACATGGAACCCAACACAGGGTTCCTGTTAAATAAAGGTTAATAGTCTTCCAGGACCCCGAAACGTCAGGTTCCATATTGGGCCATCCCCGCAACTGTATCGCTCAGCGATCCCTTGTAATTTTGGTTTCCCTTCAAGCAAAGTCACAGTTTCTCTTGTGGGCACCCCTCTTGAGGATGGTTTAAACGGAAGCCAAAAGGACATCCACACATTTGTTGTGTTCCCCTGTTTTGCCATTGGGGAAACTGCAAAACTGATGATGTTTCCCACTAAACGGAAGAGCTACCTATGGTGAT